AACAACAAAATAAAAAAAAAAAAAAAAACACCACAAAGCCAACCAGAAAACAGCACCAGATTTTCATAAAATAAAGCAAATTGCAACCACCTTAATTTAATAGGCAGATGAAGCCTGCAGAGGCTTCAGGTTCCAGCATGTAGCATTCCAGCTGGATTCTTTGAAGATCAGAGTAGTTCTGTACCTCAGCTGCTTGGTGTGCCATTTGCCTGATGGCCATACCCACTCTGATAATGGTAGCAGAACCAGCTCTGCTTTCGTAGACAGTTGTCTACAATAGAAAAAATGAGACATTATGACTGCCAAGCTTATTGTGAGAAGGGAATGAAGCAGTAAAAATAAGAAATTGTACTGACTATTGCCCAACTTTTCTATTAAGTGGCTTATCCTGATTCAACTTTTTTTTCCCCCATGTAATACATATCTTGGATTTATTGCAAAGACATCAGAAGTAAAAGCAGACAGAAGTCAATAATGTATGTGATTAGATGGCAGTTTGGAAGGCTAGCTGATCTGCTTTTATGTGCACACCGTTTTCAAAGTAATCCCCAAATAATAATAATCTATTAAAGATTTTCATATTGAGTCAAATGACAGGCAAAGTGTTATGCATCAGAAAACTACTTTTATATAAAAAATAATTAAGCTAAAGTGCTCATAGACATTTTTTAAGACCAGCTGTCAGAAAACTCTTGCAACAATTCTTTTTTAAATGTTTTTGATGCGGAATAAAAGACTGATTTCCCTTTTAAAGTGTTTAAATTATATTGATGGAGGGTTATTTCTAAGCAAAAAGAAGCTGTAAAAAATCTTCATTGCAGAAATGAAATACTTACTCTTTATTTGTGAAAAATGTGAATCCTTCTCCCGCAGTTTAGGACATCAAGATAGATGAGCTAAACCCCTAGGCACCTCATCTGTGTCCCAGTGGACATAAGTCAGTAGACCTCACAGGGGACTGAGAAGAAGTTATGTTTAAACTAGATGTAATTCATTAATTAGATAGCCAGAATCTGTAATTTTAGTCTCTGCCTTATGCTTTTGTACCTGCTTTTTGGTTTTAATTTATAGATTAAAATTCTCAGAGTATAGAGAATTAAGACAAACAAATATGGTATACTCTCTGACTAATTTCAGAGTAGCAGCCGTGTTAGTCTGTATCCGCAAAAAGAACAGGAGTACTTGTGGCACCTTAGAGACTAACAAAAAAGTCTCTAAGGTGCCACAAGTACTCCTGTTCTTTTCTCTGACTAATGATATTAAAACACATTATCAAAGACAAGTTATTAATCCTAAAAAATGCAATCCAGTGAATCATTTTGGGGCTACTGACCTTATAAACGAAATCATTTGACATATAATTGGCACTCTGCCATGCTTCGCTGACGCTTGAAAACCACATTAGGTAGTGGTGGAGCGAGAGAACAAAATATTTGAAAACATATTAATTATTAACACTGTATGTGAGCAATGTAAGTAGAAATAACAGTACAAAGTGTTATACTGTCAGCCTATTTTCAGTATGCCGTTAGAAAGCTTAGTAAAATAAAATATATTCTAGTTGCTATATCATTGCAGTCTAATGCACTGAGAGTCAGGACATATGGTATAGTCAGTAGGATCACATGTCTTAAGCTAGTGTGTATTTAGGATGTAAGGTTTAGGCTTGTAAGCTTCATTATCTGAGGAATGTGATACCAGAATCAATAATTTTTAACAGAGGCCAAAAATTAAGATAGCAAAGGTAGGTCAAAACAGCATAGATGATGTTGAACATGAGTGCCCCTGGTTAAACCAAATATTTTTCTAACTTCTGGCAATCAGTCATGCAGTAAAGTTTTTTAACGTAATGCTCAATAAGGCCCAATCCTGAAAAGACTTATGTTCATGCTTTACTACTAACACTGAGCATTCTGTGTGGGTCATTCATTTTAAAGAATCATTTATTTCAACCAAGAGCCACTGCAGCAGAGTAAAAGTCCCAAGGCAGAAGTTGCTGCACTTCAGAACATCACTTTCTCTTTGTTTTTCTAAGAGAGCGCAATCATTTCATGTACCTAATACAGAGGCATCGGCTGTAGATGGCTACTCTTTCCAACTTTTGTCAAAAGTTAACAAAAAAAATGTCTAAAACTCATCAAAATACATTTCCACATTCATTGCCAAGGGACTCTTGTGGGTCTGCTCAAAAATAATTTCTTTGAAATGACTCTCCAGCAGGACAGACACTTGCTAATCTCTGAAATGGTTCCTAAACTAATCACTTCCTAGAATGCTTACATTTATCTGGTTGTATTTTTTACAGGGCCTATATATGCATTAGTGTGTTTTTAAGTACGGTACATTATTATTTGCGGGAGGTTCAGGCTCAAAGTTAGCCTTTCATATTTTTCATTCTGGGAGTTTTTAAAATGTTTGTTTAACCATTGCCTGCCCAATGATTACAAATGAGATAATTCAGCTGATACTGCGTGGTTGGAGCCTGTTTGAATTTTCTTAAAATATGGATATAAATTTTAAAAAATATAACCAGATAAATGTTGGTTTTAAATGTATGCTTTCTAGGAAGTGATTAGTTTAGGAACCATTTCAGGGATTAGCAAGTGTTTGTCCTGCTGGAGAGTCATTTCAAAAAGATAATTGTCTTTGTACTGCTATAACAGTAAATGTGAACAGCGGTGATATCTGCAAACTGGACTGTTCTTTTGCATCTATTCATGTGGCAACATTTGAAATGTTTTCCCGCACAGGGGGATTTTGCATTTTATATATTTAGGTATTTATAGCGCATCCATCACTATGTATCTTCCTTCATTGTTCCTTGCAGTGAATGATACAGAAATGTAGTGGGAAACAGCATTTATAACTTCTGCCACAATACTTAGAATTCTTTCAGGACCCATATGGTCCACAAAGGGAAAAGAACCAGGAAAACACGACCATACTGTAACAACAAACCATAACAGAGGAAATTGTGTAGTTTAAAGGGAAACTATGCTTTAGATTAAATATTTCGGTGAAATTCAGTTTAGTGCAATACAGAAATAGGTGTTCTCACAATTGTATTATCTATGTGTGTTTATGGAGGCACAGATGTAAATAACCAAATATAGTAACAAACCTTGCAAATATTTATCATCATTTATTTTGCCTACACACAAGTGTTGTATTAATCCAGTCATTAAAAGCTAATTGTTCAAATCAAATACAATTATGTTATGATGTTTTGGTTTAATGTTGCTTTAGAAAACAGAAATGTATCACTTGGAATCTTGTTAAGAAAAGGCATTGTTAGGGGCAGGTCATATAATGGACACAATCAGATGACTGTACTTGCTGATTTGCCTGAACAAATATTTCACCCTTAGATCAGAGGATAGAAAGCAGTCTTTTACTAATTGGGTTCAGGAAACCATAGCAGACTATTCTGTTAAAGATAGGGTTACCATATTTCCACAATCAAATTCCCCCTCTCCCCCCCTCCCCCCGGACTCCCCATACCATTCTGGCTCCACGTGTTTGCAAAACACGCTGCCCGGTGGGTCGGTTTGTGTGTTACACAGGGCTGCAGACAGAGGGAGAGGGGGCAGGGGAGGGCTCTGGCTGCTGGAGGCCAATGGGAGCGGGTCAATCAGCCCAGCCGCCCAATCAGCAGCCACACTCTGCATGGAAGGGAGGCGAGGGAGTAAAAAACCCCGAACATTTTAACCTTGTTACCAATTCCTCCCGGACAGCTATTTAGAGACGCAAAAGCCGGACATGTCCGGAGAAATACAGACGGATGGTAACCCTAGTTAAAGATCATCTATGCACAAATTCCAGAACACACCCTAAAGCACACACTCTAGAAAGACAGACAAAACAAATGCCAACTTGCACATAAGATATGTTTTCGTCTTCTACTCAGGGCTGCTTGAGACACACAGTCAAATGGACAGTTTTCAGGAATTTGTGGGGATAAAAATGAAAAAGAGAATCTGGTCTTGTCAGTTACCAAATTAAGCTAAATTGATACGTCACATACAAGGCAGCTTAAGAGTGACTACACCCTCTTTGCACCAGTTTAACTAAATCAATTTAAAAACCAATTTTAGTTAAATTGATTCAGCTTCTGTGTGTAGTCAAGATCTCTGTAAATCTAGATAAAATGAACAGTCATGTAAGGTATGGAGCATTGACGAAATATCTGTAAGTATGAGGCCATTGTTGGAGCTTAAAAAGTTAATAACAGAAACAGATGCCATTAAATATTTAATTAAAAATAGTATTTGGACTGGCAGTAGGTTTGAAATGTTAGAAAAATCTGAGAATTAGGATCTTCCTGTTTTGAGTATCTTGAGGGATAGGAGCTGTTGTCAGTAGCTACCAGTGTGGTGCTCTGCTCTTGTTCGATGATGATAACAGTTGGCTGCGTGTGTGTTCCCTCTGTGTGCTGCCCCAGTTCTGCGCAGATAGCTGACACAGCAGACCCCGAGAGAACCCCCAGTGACCACAGACTCTAGTAAGGTACGAAGGAACCCGAGCCAGGTTTATTGTCAAACGAAGCATAGTAATAGTTTCCCGTAGACTCTACAAGACATACTACGAATTTTGACCCCTGGCAATGACCGGCTAAGTCAGTGGCAGGACTTTCCACTGCCCCCTAGGCCAGACAAAGATGCGCACTCCGGGACCTACTTTTATACAGTTACAGGACAGATTACTCATCCCTACTGACATATTGAGGTACAGCCTTTTGGCTCATTAGGGTGTTGATCATGTTGTTTCAGACAAACAGATCTATCCATCATGCTGTCCTTTTGACCCTGTCTTTAAGATACACCTGCCTGTTCCTTGTTATGTCTATGGAGTGTCCTTGTATTGGGCTGTCCAGGTGCCATCTTGGCACAAGTTCCTCTTATTAGCGCTTATGTGTGAATGCACCTGCTTCTAACAAACCTCTTCTCGCCAACTTCTGTGAGCGGGGCCTGCCTCTGGCTCACAGCCCAGCTTTTGCTTAGCAGTGCCTGGAAGTACTTTGGTTCAGGCTTCGGGCCTCAGACTGGGCCTCTGACACAAGAGTTTATATTTCGGGGCCTCATCTTACTACAGAAGCTACATGCCCCTATCTCTCGAGATACTCTAAACAGGACAGCATCAGCTCCATAGAAAGCCAAATTCCCCAAATTAGTTTTAAAATTAAGGAAGGTGCCTTAAAAGTTTATCAATCCTCTTTTATAGTATATAGTGCATGTTAAACGTGGTGTGGCCTTTCAGGAAAAGGGCAGAATTTTGTAGGTAGCCATAAAATCCCATCCATTGTCTTGGAGTCACTCCTGAGAGACACTCCTGAGAGTTTTGTAATCGAAAACTAAACAGCCACAGGGACTCATTCATCTGTCAAAATGAATCAGACATGATAAACTCAAGCATGGGTCTTTCAACATGCAAGTCATGGGTCTCTACATTTTTAAGTGGTAGCGCTACATGCTTAACTACAGAGTAGTGTGGCCAGTCTGATGCAGAGTTCCATAGAGTACCAAACACTAAGGAGCAGGCTTGCTGATTTCAGCCCTGTGGGAAAGTAATCCTTCTCTCCAAGCTTCTACAGCCTTTGGGATGATATAGGAGCAGCATTGATTGGTTCAGTTGTAAAGCCTGTCCAGGCTTTTGACAGAAGGCTGTTTATAATACAGGTACTTTAAAGAATGGTAAGGTCAAAAAAGCAAACGTGAAATAGAGGGACTCTTCAAGGCCGTGAGAAATCCCCACGGGAGAAAAGAGGGAGAAGAGGGATGTCATGCAGTGTAAAAACCAGATACTGAATGTTCTTCAAGTACTTGAGAAATTTTTAGATTTTATCTAGATTATATCTCCTGGTAATGTATTACACTTTTCACAGTTAGATAGTCTAACTGTCTTTGATGCTGCATCTATAAGTAACTAGAAGGGTAATTGATATGCTTATCAAGTATATTTTGATAAGTTTAATCAACTATATGTGATACTGTACAATACATCAGGAAATGTAAAGAAAAACTGATGAATTAGTACTTGAAGAGCTTATGGTCTCAGGCTGTGATTTTATCAGATGTCACAAACTAAACGGGATTGTGCTGCACCAGTTCTCTATGGGAGATGAATAAAAAAACATGGTGCTTATTAAAGTAGTTATGTTGGCAATTGAGTAAGGCCATGTGTCCTGCCCTCTGAGTCAATATAGAACTAGTTCCTCACCATAGTGTTAGAGGACACTGTGCCAGATGTTGTCCTCAGAATGTATGTAAAATAGAGATGGAGAAAACTTGTAGTCATCAGGGGGTTTTTTCCTCAAGAGAAAGGGTGCTAAACTCAAGGGTCTTGGCCAAATTCTATCTTGAAGTATTATTCTAAATACCTTGCAGTTTTCTCTTGCAGTTTCAAATGAATATATTGGTCATATTTGCTTTCTATCCTAATGGTCTTGTAGTGTTTGTAGTCAAGGGTTGCCTATTTCCATCCCAAAACTCACTTTCATTTCAGTGTTGGAAGAAGTGATACCTGTACATGTGTGTGGCTAAGCTTTTCAGACCTGTGTGCCTAAAGTAAGGTGCCCACACATGGATTTAGAAGCCCAAATAAAAGTAGGCTGATTTCAAAATTTGCTGAACCTGCACTTCCCACCGATTTTGGTGAGACTTTTGGGTGCTGAGAACTTCTGAAAATCTAGTCATTTACCTTTAGGTAGATGAGTGAAGAGCCTAATTTAAGCACCCA